ATCTCTTCTCCTTCTTTCCTATTAAACATCTATCGTCTTTATCTCTTCTCCTTCTTTCCTATCAAACATCTATCGTCTTTATCTCTTCTCCTTTTTTATGTTTGTTACTCTCTTGTAACACCTCTAATCTTCGGCACTTATATGACCTTATTGTGTTTCAAGGGCCGTAAAACTCTAACTAAAACAATTACTAAAACAAGGACGTTAAATCGACCAGTACTTACTGACTGAAAACAATGGCGTAGTGAGGGCAAGATTTGTCGTTTTCGGACGTGACTCTAATAGCTTTCAAAGCAAGAACGGAGCGTTTTACAAACGCGCGGAAGAAAAGTGGAACATTTATTGCTGTCTAGTTTGTAATTTTGAGTTAAGTGTAGAATTCTGTGGTTCAGTGTTATATTCTCGTGTTTTGACATTTGACACGTGTGTACTAGAGGTTAGGCTACCGGACTCGTAATCGCGAGGTTGCGGGTTCGGGGGTTCGAGCCCCGGGCCCGACGTTCGTTGTGTCCTTGGGAAAGGCACTTTACTCGAATTTTCCTCACTTCACCCAGGTGGGAAAGGGTACCCAGCCATAGACAGCGAAAGAACTTGTCAGTATGTTAGTGTTTTAGCCCCTATAAATAGCCACTTGCACTGTATGCTTCCCAGGAAGTTGAGGTTGTTTCCGAATGCTCTCGGGTCTGCTGGGGTAATAGTATAGATTGTGAAGCGCATAGAGCTTGCTGTTGAGCGAGGATTTGCGCTATGCAAATGCTATCTATTATTATCTATTACTTTGCAACTTTTGACAGGTGTGTATTTTGTAACTTTTGACACGTGTGTACTTTGTAACTTTTTACAGGTGTGTACTTTGTAACCTTTTACAGGTGTGTATTTTGTAACTTTTTACAGGTGTGTACTTTGTAACTTTTTTCACGTGTGTACTTTGTAACTTTTTACAGGTGTGTATTTTGTATTGTCCACAGGCTACTTATCTCGTAAAGGACGACAGACGTCCAACCTTGGGTGGCTGGAGGGCGCCACTGGTAAGTCCTACTTCTTTTTTTCCCTCTTCATCTGATATTCCTATCTGCATGTCTTATGTTTCCCAGCCCTAAATGACTGATGTGGGTGGTTGGCGGGTGCTCCGGTGTGGTTTTCCCCTTCTTTCTTATTAAACATCAATCTTCCTTATCTCCCCCTCCTTCTTTTTTATGTTTGTTACTCCCTTGTAACACCTCTAATCATCTTGCGCCCATATGACCTTATGCAGTTGTGAGCGCCGTAGAACCTCTACTAAAACTTTAAAAATTATTCTACAGAAAGTACCTTCAAATGTATCAGGTAATTTTGTCTCCGCGGTGTATTAGCTTTTCACGTTATGTTCACTGTCGTTCGCGGACCC